AGGGAAAGGAGAGTCAGTTCAAAGAAAGGTACCAGCATGGAAGAAGGCACAGGTTATTTAGAAAATGACTTGGCAGAGAATTTAAATAACTCAAATGTACTCGACTTTCATTTTGCTTTCCTGTTCAACACACACAATTAGCTTGTCAAAATAAACTCTTGGTATTTTGTGACTTGTATGTTCTGCCTTTACTCTTGAAGCTTCTTAGATTGTATTACATGATTTTGGCCTGGGAAATGTGTAATTATATTGGTGTTGGTTCTTGTGACTAGAGAGGGTGAAGAAGTGGGTATCCTATCCGTATCTTCTCTTCTACATTCTTAGTGTGCCTGATATTAAAGCTGTCAGTGAGGGAAATAGTTCCTTTACATAAATAATATAGAACATGCAAGCATAGTAATGTCACATGTCCCATCTGAAACCATATTTGGAATCCTCAAGCTTTGCTTGAGTCATTGGTCCATCAGAAATATGACCTGAGCCTGTCGTGGGGACCCCGGGTCTCCAGCCCTTATCTCCCTCCATGCTCGGGACACTTCTGGCAGGTACTGGTCAACAGGAAAATGTCTGATGAGCAGCTATCAAGAATCAGAAGGACAAAAACAGCCAAGGCAGCCCTCAGTTCAGATAACCAGTGCTTGAATAATTTAAGTTTGGCTATATATAAATGACAGTACCTGCTAAAGTCTGAATTTTTGGTTTTAACCAAATATAATTCAGAAAATAACACACATGATCAAAATCAAATATATAAAAATAGTATATAAATATCTACAAAATATAATGAGTCCTTTGACTATAGTCAGGAGAATGTAGGTGGTAATATAATGACGATTTTGAGTTAAAATCAATATTTACACTAGTATCTTCACCTCACTCTGCACATATATGTTAAAATATTTATCTCTTCCTCTCTCCTTCCTTTACAAAGTGACATTCCCCACCTCATTAAATAAGTAAAGTTTATTTCAAAATAATATAGAGAAAGTGTAAAGATTAAAGAAGAAAATTTAAATTCCATTTAAAAATCAAATCACTTTTAGAATTGCTTTTTTAACATTCTCATCTTGGCTGTTGTACCGACTACCATCAGAGGCCTCGCCTCTAAGATGGTGGTATTGAAGGACACCCAGAAGATATTTATATCCTGAGTGCTGTTTAATCTGTTTCCACAGAGGTGTCTGTCATGGCAATTCTCTTCAGGAAGCTGTTTTGCATTGTGGCCTTTAGCTTCTCTAATATCAAGAACCTTGGCTGCTCTTCAAAGCCAAGCTAGGTTTTTGTTTTTGTTTTTAAGTCATTAGGATAAGTTGGAATTAATTTAGAAAATGTTCTCAAGAACTTCTTCAGTTGCACATAGAAAGTAGAATGTTTCCTGACCTCAAAGAGTTTATAGTCTAAAGAGAGTGTATGAAAGTTCCACAAATGATATAATGATGAGAGTGAAATAGCAGATGTCAGAGAAGAGGAAGTGACATTTAACTCTAGATGTCAAGAAAATAACGTTTGATTTGTGTTTTCCTCTTTTTTTTTTTTTTTTTGAGAGGAGGGCTATTGTCAGGCAGGGGCCTGGGGAGAGTTCTGTGGTCAGATGGCCAAGACTGTAACTGGACACTGGGAGTGCAGAGGGAGGGCAGGTGCAGCTGCAGCCTAACCTATCTGGAATTGGGAGCCTGCAGGTATGAGAGAGATAAGGGTGGGGTCCCACTGCGGAGGCATCAGGGAGCTGGGGGAGGTTTTTGACTTTTAGAATAAGGTGATAGTTGTTACACTTAGGGAAAATTAATTCTGCAGCCATGCTTTATGGACTTGAGTGGAGAGAGCCTCAACGTGGAACTGGAAGATGTCAGGTTGGGTGGATCCTTCAGGGACGAGACTCTAGGCAAGAGAGCTCACTTCTCAATGCTCCATGCCCTTACCTATAAAATGGGGATAATGCTATTATTGTGATTTCGTGAGGATTTCAGTTAACTCATGGAAACTGCTTTAATAGTGCTTCAAAAGCTTTAGCTATATATGCTGTGCATTCAGTTACCCAGAGGCATCGGAGTGAAAGCCCGCGCAGTCAGAAAGGAAATTGGTGATGTTTGTAGGGGATTTCTTTGATGTTTATGATTTTTTTAAATTATTTGTTTATATGTAAGTTGATTGCATGTCTGTTATTTGATTTATTTTGTTGTTAATGAGATAGTAACATCCTCTTTAGGTGACAGAATAGTAATCTTCTCACATGATTTTTTTCTTATGCTTCGTTATTTTTTCATGTGTGACACTTCCGAAAGTTGGCTGTTAGCTTTGGTATGTTAGGACAATGTTTCTTTACTACTGTAATAAAAACGAAGTCAAAAGCTGATTGAAATATGAAAAGTGAGATTATTGTGAAGAAAAGTGTCAAAATAGGAGTCAATATGTAAACAAAAGAAAGGTGGTTTTTACAAACTGTGGTAGTCCCCTCACTTTTCGAAAGCAGTGGTAACATTCTGGTGTGCTGTGATTTGCATCATTAAAACATATACTGTTCTGTAGACAATTGCATATTACATCGGAGGAGCATTGGAAGTGAATTTTAAATAAATCAATTAATTTAGTGTATTAAAATCGGAATTTTTTTAAGTCATTAATTTAAGCGTGATATTTGCGTAAAGAGCTGGTATGCTCGTCATCTAGTTCACTGTTCCTTGCCACATAAAACTATTTCTGAATCTTGTGTAAATTTAATGTACATAATGCACATGGAATTGATTCAGCTATGTAGTACTGCCTGCACGTAAGTGGCAGGCCTGACCCATCTGTTTGCTAGGACTTTGATTTACCTCACAATTATTCTGACAGCAAATCCTGTGTCTGTCTGTCTGACACTCTCTGTGTCTGCGTGTGCCCTGTGATGCACACACAGATGGGATCATTGCTGTTATTTAGCTACAGACAGAAAACAACGTGTGTGGCATGGATTTTCCTCTAACTCTGTTTCTGTGCATGGTGTTAGAAAAGATAAGAAACAGTTGCCGCCTTCTGGAAGTTTAGTTCTTTGAAAAAGGAAAATGAGATGTTACGGAAGTAGAGCTCCTTAGAAAAGCTCAGAATGACTTGAAGAGTGGTTTTGAAGGTGAAGAACCCACCAGGTGCAGGGTCCTCACAGCAGGGCCTTGCTCACGCAGACGTCCACACTAGCTGCTGCCCCCCTCAGTCTCTAGTTGACTCCCCCTATCACGAGGCTGAATGTCCAGTGTTGTTCTTGGAGTAAAATTGAGGCTCTGGTTCCCAAATCTGCCCTGAAGATTTGTTTATTTCTGTGACCCTAGACTGCCATCTTCCTATGGTTATTCCTACCAGCTTCCTGCCAGAGAGTTTTGCCTTGTTTTCTTCCTGCTTTTGACTAACTAAAGTTCATTCTGTGTCATTGAAATAGCATGCCCTGCAGTCTGCAGAAGTAAAGCAAGAATTTTAGAAGAGAAATGTGATCTGAGATGAAGTCAGACCTAAGTCCATCCTCTGTGTCCAAGATGTCTGTCACTCAGCTGTGTAAATGCCTCGGTCCGCTTTCAACTCCTTTGCTGTTTCTTTGCATATTTGGTGTCACTGTCTTGATGTTGCTAGAAAATAGTGCCACTGAAATACCTGGAGGACAGTACTGAACAAAATGAGCCATTCCAAATGGCCAAATTTTGTATGATGACTTTCATGGCGAATGTCCTCTTAGACCCACAGTTAGTTCTCACATTAAGGACTTTTAGAATAATAGAACTTAATGATTGGTGTTTCCGGTAAAACAGAGAAAGATCATGCCGCGCTTGGAGTTCTTGTGCATTTACACAAGAATTTGAAGGAATTTATGACATTTGAAATCCATTGGTTATATACCTCATTATGCTTCAATCATAAAAATTTCAAAGTAGCAGGAGGAATATTTCCATGCCAGCACAATGTTCGTATTTACCTGCTTTGGGATTTATTTGAGGTTTTCTGTCAGAACAGGCCAGCAGGCACCTTGTCAGTCTCTATCATGTTTATTTGGAATCTATTCAGTCAGAAAGCGGAGACAACTGGGGACATTTTCTTCTACTCCAACACAGTGATTGGCATTCATGACGACTGAGAGCTTTTACATCATCACAGAAGGAGTAAAATATGTTTCGTGCCATACAGTATGTGTGCTTCACCACTTTGCACCCGGGTCATGGCCTGGCCCTGGGCAGTTCCGACCTGCTGGCAGCCTCCCCAACACCCCTCCATCCCCACCCCCGGCCCAGGCCCCCTTCACCTCCACAGTGCCCTTGTGGCCAGGCCCTAGACCTTGTCAACTTCTGGAACAGCTTCTCCCATGGTGCAGTCACAGCCATAGCCTCTCAGTTTTTCTCCCTTGAATATACCAGCACAGGGACTTTTTGGGGGGCCCCAGCTTATCCCCCTCCTTCCACCCCTTCCTGCCTCCCCTTTCTGACCGCTTAGCCCGCAGTGTCCATCAGTTCAGCCTTGTCATATCCTCAGCTCCTTCTGTCCCTGCTGTTTCTCTGGCCGCCTGCCTGGACAATCTGTGATGCCGCAGCAAGCCAGCCACCCCTTTTCCACACACAACGGGCTGCTGAGATCTCTCAGCTCTCCAATGTGGTGCCACCAAAAACTCATGACCTTCCCTCCCACTAGGTTCTTACAGGTATAGGAATTTCTTTGTCATTTCCTAAGTTATTTCTCTCTATATCACCAAAGTTCGGTCCACCGGCCCCAGGCATTTATTTACGGTGCTTATCTAGTCATCCTTGTTTAGGCTCTCCTGGTTTCTCATCATTTTAAAAATAAACCCAAACCCCTTAATTTGACCTCCAAGGATCTCCGTGCCTTGGTTCCTGCCGAGCTCCCAGACTCCTCTGTTCCCATCCCTGTGGCATGTTTTTGGCCCACTCTTTTGAACTGTATTCAGTTTCTGGTAACCACAAGCTTTCTCTTCTCCATGAACTTGCTCTCCCTTTATCTGAAACGCTTCCTCCCCAGGCTTCACCTAATAAACCCTTTCTTCCTCCTTTACTCTTAGTACATGCAGATTTATCATATACTGAGGAGCGCTTGCAAGCTCCCTTGCTGCACTGCCCTTGCTCCACCAGATAATGAGTTAAGTGCCTCTTCTTCATCCCCACCTTTTGCCCTGAATTTCCCCTATATGACCACTTCTGTTCTTGTGTTGCCTGTTTGTCTGGCTCTCGCTAAGGGCAGGGACACTATCTGTTTTGTTCATGGCTGTGTGCCGGCCTAGTACTTGGGAAGTAGTCTTTGCAGACTGTAGACATGTAATACAATTTTGTGGCTGAATTACTGAATTCACAAATTATTCATTAAATGTTTCCTATGTGATAACTATGATAGCATCAACTACTATCTGTGGAGACCTGACCATGCACCAGGGGTTGTTCTGATAACTTCACAGGTATTAATTTCTTACCTTCTGGTCAGTATCCCACAGGTATTAATTTCTTACCTTCTGGTCAGTATCCCTCTTATTTTGCCAGTTCTGCAAATAATGGTGGTTGGCTGTGCTTTTAACCAGCATGTCCCGCGGCTGCATGTGTGGGCAGGACCTTTGTCAGGTTGGGGGGTGAGGGGAGTTAGACAGGTCCTCTGCTCCAGAGGAGTAACAGTCCGTGGGGGAGAGAGTGAAAGGAACAACTCTTCTAACGTGAGATGCCCAGTTTCTTGGTGGACACTCGTATGGGGTGCTGTGAAAGGGATAGAGGAGGAGCTTTGTACTTTAATTCTTTAAAAATTAGAAATTTATATTTACTATACACGGAATAACAGTTCTAAGTAGAACACACTATCTTCTAACTATTTCTATAAACTCTAATGTTATAAAACAACTAAATAACATGGAGACAATTTACATTACTAGATGCCTTTAGCTTATAAAGGGAAGCTAAATGAAGGGGTTTATTATGAATTTCCTGTAGATTTTCAGCTAATATTAAAAAAATAGAATTATATTTACCAAAATTTAAGCAACACCTCTTTGGAAAAAAGACATATCACAAAATAGATTTCTAAAGCAGTTCAAAACACTTGATTTTTGAAGTTCATTGTTCTTCTTATTGACCTTACAGGAGAATCATGAAAAAGGTATCCATGGAGCCATCTGAGCGACTGGCCAGTCTCCAGGCTCTGTGGGACAGCCAGACCGTGTCTGAGCAGGGCCCCTGTGGTGAGCATGCATTTTAAAACCAAAATATAAGTGGCTGTATGATGTCCCCTGGCCAGGAAGTGAAGTCTATTTCTAGCATACTACTGTAAAGGTACAATTAGTTTTAAGGTGTAATTAGCACTGCACAGGCTTGATTGGTGGACAGAAGTTCTATATATAAGCTGTATTGCATTCTGTTATGTACTTACTATAGAACAGGGAGGAGAATCTTGGTTGTTTTTTCAAACAGAAAGAATGATCAGCCGTGTTGACATCGGCCATATTTAAGCTTTTAAATTTTAATTTAAAAATTATTTAGCCAAAAAAACTGTCACATTTCTGTTGTGTGTTTCAGGTGGATTTTCTCAGATGTATGCCTGTGTTTGCGACTGGCTGGGGTTTCCATATAGGGAAGAAGTGCAATGGGTAAGTGTTTAGTGTGCATGTGCGTGCACACATGCACACACACTTACACACACATACACACCAGGAGAGTATTCCAATATTTGGCTGGATTATTTTTTCTTTTTCCCACCAGTCATTTTTTGTTTACAATCTTCCTTACTTAGATTACATAAAAATCTGCCTATGTCATTGTCTGATTCTCTTTGCATCTCTCTTGCTTCCCCGGTCATTTATGTGGACTATTTACATGACCGATTTATATTTCAAATAGGATGTGGATACAATTTATCTGACACAAGACACCCGGGAATTGAATTTACAGGACTTCAGTCATCTTGACCACAGGTGAGCTGTTTTCTTCTTTATTTCCTTTTTTTTCTTCTACTCTATGCTTTCAGAGCTGCACTTCTCTGCTGACACTGAGGGATGTACCTTATACCTTGTCTCCAGAGAATCCTTTTATAAGAGGAATAAGAGAATCTAGGAATCTCTGGATTTTGCCTTTCAACTAATAGTTTCAAATGTGTTTGTCACTACGAATGCTTTGGCATGGGAGTGCCGTTTATACCTCAAATGGAGAGTCTATAGTTAGAAAATGTGCTTTTCCCATGGAAACAATGTAATTCTTAGGTTCTTATACCAGCTCGCAAAGTCTATTTAATCTGGCCTGCATATAAAATATAGCTCTCTTTTAACTAGTTGCCATTTAGAACAATTTTTTCCTAGGAGGAAATTTTGTGCTGAAATCCTAACAAAGGACTTACTTCACAGTTTCTTTATGAATCAGGGATTACTAGGTATACATGCAGATATTGGTGGGAATCAGTTAGCCAATGTCTGCCTTATGATAGTGATAATAAAACTATGACACCTGTGACAAGTTATTTGAGAAACTTTTAGGTTTTATGAGAGTGACTTTAATGTATTCGGGGCTGTGGCTAGTGTGATCAGGTCCCAGAGAAAAGCTTCGTTCAGTTCTCCCTTCTCTCTGCAAGGACAGATCTGAGTTATCTTACACCCCTTACCCTGAATGTCTTTTCTGGTAATGTTTCCTGGCCCAGCCCAATCTTCTCAACCCCAGATGTGCTGAGGGGTGGACAGATATCAGCCCTCCCCCAGTGAACCCTGGCCCAATAAGTCTTTTCTCTGTGCTTGGAATTGAGAGAAGGAAGTCCAGTATTTCACCTGTACCTTTTATGCCATTTGGGCAATTAGGATTACAGAGAGCATTATTACCTCTTCTTACCCCAGAGTACTATGTCAAATGATTCTTCCACTCACCTGGCCAGAAATCCAGAATCATAGTGGGGTCTCTGAAGAGTTCTAGCCTGAATTGAACCAAGAAAAAGTATCCTTGGTGGGTTGCGCTCCTGTCTGCAAGGCCTGGGTCCGTGGGGGAGGGTGGAGCCGTGTCTGTAGTTGTGGCTGAAGCGCCTAAAACCCTGAATCTCAAGCTTGGATTCATTTCCTTTTGAGAGAACAGGCAGTCTTCTCCTGTCCGGATATGGTCTCCCTCTCCCTACACATGAAGGAAATTCATAACCACATTTAAAGAAGATGTTTCCTGTATAGCTCATGAAAAAGTGAACTGACAGACAAAAAGGGAAAATATTTTGGTTTGAAATTTTCAATTAAAACAGAATTGCATGTAGACTAAGGTAGGAGAAGGCGGGCCTACAGCATCAAATCTCAATGATTTTGGTCCCTGGATCCTTTCGTGTCTTAAAAATTATTAAATAATTATTTTCGCGGGTCACAGCTTTTGGCATTTGTCATAGTAGAAATTAAAACTAAAATTATAAATTTTTAAATTAATTCCTTTAAAAATAAATAAATCCATTACATGCTAACAGAGATACCATTTTAATGAAAAATAACTATTTTCAAAAACAAAAATAAGTCAGCAAGAAGAGTGGCACTAGTTTTCCTTTTTGCAGATCTGTTTAGTTTCTGACTTAGAAGAAGACAGCTGGGTTCTCATATTTGCCTCTGTATTCAATCTGTTATGATTTGTTACTTTGACTAAATTATGTATAGAAAATCCAGCCTTATGAAAACACATAATTAGAAAAGGGAATATTTTTAATAGCCTTTTCACAGAATTATGGATATTTTTATTGGATTCTTCACCTAAACTCAACAAGTGATGGTTTCTTAAAGATCATTTGCAACGTCTGAGACCATATCAATGAACTGGTTGTGTTTTCCATTAAAACCCATTTGGTCTATCTTGTGCTTTGAGTGATCTTACCTGTACATGGTTATGCAGCATTCCTCCCAGGTCTTTTAGAAAATACTGACTCACTGAGTTATGCATAGCTTCCAAATATTTTGCTGTTACACAATAGGGGAAATGACATCTGTTAAATGTCACTACTGAACTTATTGATCAGGCAGAGAAAGACAAATAATTTCATATAATTTCATATATTTTCATATAATTTCATATATTTATGATCTAAAAAACAAAATAAACAATGGAGGAATTAGGCAAATTGGCGGTGAAAGAGAAGAGGTTAAATAGGCCACGTGTTGAGCTGGAGTTCGCTAACATATAGTGCCAATAATTATCATATGCGTACCCTCATTTAAAAAGGAAGAAACGCTGTTCACAATGTGGAATCAGGTGCAAATAGCATTAGCTTCCGTTTCCATTCAAAAACTTCTGTAAATAATTTTGTAAAACTTGGTTCCTAGCCTGGGTCAGGTGGACCCGGTGGTGAATAAATTAATGATATATTGGAGAAACATCAAAAAAATAGTAGGGTTTGTTTTATGTTTATATTTTTCTCATCCATTTTATTTGTATATATGTTTGTATATATGTTATAGTGTATATATGTTTTACACTAATATATTATGACAGTAGTACGTAAACACAGATTTTTGGGAAGATGCGTACTCAAAATAGTTTTCAGTCAGGAGGGAATGATCAAAAAGTTTAGAGACCGCTCTTAAACATCTGGCAGTATCCTCCTCTGCAGTGTTTCGTGTCATAGTCTTCACAGGGCTGGTGAGTAGTCCAACTAATCACCTAATAATAATATAGAGGTCATATCTCTGTATAAATGAGGGTATCAGGGAGGAATAGCTAATCCATAACATTTTAAACTTTTTAAAGCTCTCCAACTCCCATTTTCAAATTCGATATAGAGGAGAAAAGTCTAAATTATCCCCAGAGAAGCTATCAAATGAGTAAGTCAGGAAGATATTGCTGTGGCTCTGAGTTTTACCAGCCTTTCCATATTCCATCATGCACATGCAGGAAGCATATGGAGCGGCCAGACTGCATTCTTGCATGAAACACCTCCTTTGAGCCTTTGAATGTTGGTGAGATTTATTAGGGGAAACCTTCACTCCCATGGTGTGTAGATGTACTACACACAATCATGATGCTGTTCACTGGAATGTTGCTTTCTACCTCCGCTTTTTCCACCTTGTAGATTATGGGGCTTGCTAGACATCCTTCAATTCTGTCAATTATTTTTATTCTTTAATACTTTCCTGGAGTATTTCACACTGTCTGTTTAAAAGTTACAGTGTTTTTATAATTTCAGGGAGGAGGTGGGCCTGGGAAAGGGAGTAGGGAGGGAAATCTGGCCTGAAAATAATAACTGGAAAAGTTAAATTCTTATGAAATCATACAGATCAAAAAGATGAGGTAGGAACTGCTACTCCAGAGAAGTCAAGAATCTAGAATCTAACGTAGCAAAGAATTTGACAAGTGATTTAGATTTCTTTGTTTTTGCATTTTACCTTTTTTAAAATAGTCCCCAAATATTAGCAGTTTATTTTTGATGTCCAAAGCAACATGAGCACTATCATTATTTGTGAAATCACTTCACTTCGGAATACATCTTGGTATTAACTTTCAAATTAGAAACTGAGTGTGTCTTTGACCGTGATGAAAAAAGGTTTTGGAATCTTTGATCTGAAAACCCTGGACTTTTCTGTAGTGTAGGTTGGAGACTCTTGACAATATGGAAAGCAGGTTAGTCCTCAGTCATTAGACAAGGAGCTCATGAGACACAGTGCCTGGTATGAAGCATGGCTCTGCTCAGACTAACTCTGCGACCGTGGGTGGCTCTCTGACCTCTCTGTGCCTTGGGGTCTTCATCTGTAAAATGATGTTAATGGTGGTCCATCCTCCTGGGCTATTGGGAGGACTACATGGATTAATGTATTTAAAACACTTCATGCCAGTACATAAAACTGTTTAAATATATGCTTGCTATTTTTATATTCTAAAAGGCTTGTCCTATTTAAACAAAAACTGTGTAAAGTGACCGGTTTTCTTAATTTGAACAAAAAAGAATTAGAGTTACATCATCCCTTTATTACAGAATATTTTGGATTTCCAGAGACTAGTTCATGCTTTTTTTCCTATGATGCTATTGTTGGTTCTTTTGAGTTTTAAGGGAAGGTTTAGCTTATTTAGAGGTTGTCAACTGAGATGAGAAATAAAGATCCCAACTTTTATTGTAAACCCCAACCGGTGACTAGACTAATAACAATAACCGTAACAGAAGCAACTCTGCTTGTAACAAATTTACATCAGGAGAAGGTTAGGGAATATTAACTGTCTTGTTTCTCTCCAGCACAATATAAAAAATGGCACTTTCATGTGGTTCTAAAATTCTATGCTCTAAAGCTCTAGAGGTTCCATAGCTCTTCCTTCTCAGGATTTGGCGTCTTATGAATGTTTTTGCTGATATTTTAAGAAAATGATGAAAGCGTCACGTGGAAACGTACAAGAGAACACCATGTTGCCAAGACTTGCACAGGGGTTCCCTAAACTGCTGTCAGGCTTCAAGGCCAACTTTACTCTTCAAACCTAAAGTCACACGGTTATTAAGAGTCTCTTAGGAGGTCAAAGCAAAACAGTGGGATGCACAATAAATGCCATGGACCAATGGTAAAAAACTGTTAACCACTTTACATCATGAGAAAATCTGTCAAGATGCTAAGCACTGGTGCTTGGAACCCTTTCTCCATTGTGTAATATAATCAGTGCTTTGCGAAACCGTGAAAGGGTTGGTCCTCATTGACAGAGATCTCACCAGGGAAATCAGGGGACTTCTTTGCAGCGAGGTGGTGTCAGCACAGCATTTGGGAGGTCCATGTAAATGCCAAACTATTTATCCAAGGTTTGCTTGTGTGTTCACACATCCAGGAAAGTAAACTCAGAAATGAAATTTGTTATGTACTATCTTGTGTGTTTTCTATGTAAGTGGGACTAAATCAGAGTTTCGATCATTGCTGTGGTACTGTTTGTTGTATCTACACCTGAGTCTCCCTGGTTCTGGCCTTTATGTTTGGCTGTCATGGTGGCTTAGATGTTCCTGGAGTAATGAATGCTAGGAATCCTGAACATCACTTAGTTCGGACCTTGACTTTCCACAAGTGTTTGCAAAAGTGCTTCCTAGACACTTGGTCTTCTCAAACTTAAAGCTCTCCATTCTTTGGTTGAGAGAGAGGTGTTAAGTACCTGAGAAACTGAGGTTTCACGGGCTGTATGTAGCTATAGTTTCTTTTGTTTGTTTTTTATTCTAATGCATAACATTGTATAGTTTTTCCATTCTACTGTTGAGCAGTCATTTTGGTTAGTTTAATAACTGTCGTGAACAATGCTACCAAGGCCATGCTCATACTTGTCTCCTTAGAGAAAAGTACTAGAAAATGTACTAGAATGCACATAGTTGTAAAGTTAACCACTGTGTTCACCACTTAGCTCAAGAAATAGGCCATTGCCTCTCCTTAGAAGACCTGAGTAAATCAATTTTCAATCACCGTTCCCCTTCTCCCCCTACTCCACCAGTTGTAATAATTATACTCTGTTGACCATTTCTTCTGCCTGGATTATGTGTCCCATCCTACTCCCTCATCTCAGGCAGCTTAACAATTTCCTGTAAGAACCCCTTCCCTGACCTACCTTTTCCTGATCAATGTTCCTGACCTACCTTTTCCTGATCAATGTTCCTCTGCTATACACCATAGTATCTCACAGTGCCCTGCTCCATAGGGATTATCTCTCACTCTATTACAGCTGCTTTTATTTCCTAAGCCTTCTGCCAGGTTCTGCCAGGCTGTCAGTGTCATCAACAGAGGGACCATCTTGCTGTGTTCATGGTTGCATCATGCCCAGTGATTCATTCACAATGGCTGGCACATGTTGACTATGTAAATGGTTGGAGTTGCTGGGCATTTCCAGTTCCCATGCCTTTGTACATGTTGTTTCTAATTACTTGAAATACTCCATTCCCTTTTTCCTGCCTGGTTGGCCCCTTCCTATCTTTTAAGCCCTGCGGACCCTTCCCTGTCTGCTCCAGTCTCAAGTACTTGCTGTCCTCCTGTGTCCTTATGGTATTTTGAACATGCCCCCTACTCAACAGAGTCTGATAACCCTTCCTAGTAGTTAATAGGTACTAAATAAATATTTATTGAACGCATTGAGCTATGTGATTGTTTCCTTCAAATTAGTCTTTAACACTAAAAGCCTAGGCATTCATGTAATTTAGAGAAACATGGAAGACAGACCGTGGCAACATGCACGAATCTCCATCATTTTCATGGACATTTTTTTTCCTAAAATAAAATATTATTTACATCGTCCATAGAAAATTTCATAATTCTTTTAGATTATGGATCATCAAAACATTTTAAAATATCACATATAAATTGTGTTAGAAAAAAAATTACATCACCTTTAATGCTACCACCTTGCAAGGTGTCCTTATAACATTTTGCTATATTTTTTTCTCTTAAGAAAAACACATTGTCTAGATTTGGAACCATTTATATCATTTTATATGCAGTTTTTACTAATTACAGTCATTGACTGTATCACACAGATATGCACCTAGACGGCTGTGTATTTTGAAAATTTTAAATGTTTATACTTCTGGTGTCATTAAGTATTAGACTTTTAATGTACCAGCATATTTTTTCAAGGTTTTTTTCCTATTTTGTGTGGAGATGATGCTGCCTGACCCACTGCATTAACACAAAACCTGGTTCTGTTAATGATGCGCTCTTCAGTGCCTGAAAATTCATTCATTATGACAAAAGCCAGCAGTACTTCACCTCAAGCAATAGAATAGAATACACAATACAGAGGTTCTGAAGTGTAGTCACCACTTGACATTAAATCCACAAAAGGAGCTGAGATGAGGATGTTGCCGTAGTCCCTGAGTGGAGCAGGACAGGAGAAGGCTGTGTAACGAGGCGGAATTCACCCTCAGAGAAGCTATAGCTTGTCCTGAGACGCTGGGAGAGCAGCCGGGACTTGTTCTGAGCACTTGGTCAGTGGAGATGAAAACAGTGAAGACCATAGCAATTGCGTAAAGAGTTGTCATGCTTGCTTTTTAATCTAAAACTTTCTTTTTAAATCTAAAACTTAAAGTGAATAAAGTAGGAAAATAGCATGTGGAATCATATGACTGAGACTGCTACTTTTTTTGCACGGTTTTCTGTACGGGCTCTCATTTTGCCTTTTAAAAGCATGTCTAATGAAACTGTACACATGGTGCATCAGACTCTGTGCTTCAACTGTAGTCCTGTCCCTGTGGCCTAGATGTCCCTGAACACCTATTTCTTCATCTGTAAAATGTAAGCGATAATTAACCTCCTCCTACATTGTCTTCAGATTTTAAGTGAGATGATCTAGTACAGGGCCTGGTACCTACAAGCTCTGAAATAATGCTGATTTTTAGCTCTCTCTTTACTTTCTGCCTTTCTTTTCTATTTCTTAAAAATTTAAGTATTTGCTACTTGTATTTGCCCTAAGGATAAAACTGATATGGCCTCACTGAAGCCACAAAACTAAAACAAGAGACTTAGTCTTCAAAGAACTTAGAGATGGTAAAGGACTGATGTTTAAGCAGCAAACTAATACAAAGATAGAATAAAATAACTACTAGAGTTGCAAGCAGTATGCTGGCCGGACGTCTAGGGAGACCTTACAGAAGAGGGGTGTATGATATAGGCACTGAAGGACATGTGGATTTTCGTAGCTGAACCATAGCAGTTAAAGATAATTCTGATAGTGAAATTGCATAATATGTTTTGATGAGTTAGTGAACTGTCTGCTTTTGGGGTTGAGTATGAGTTATGACATGTGATAGGAGATCAGGCAGGAAAAATAGAGTGGTGGCAGGTCGCTGATCAAATAGCTTCACTCCATGGCTCTCTCATGTATATAATTAGTGTTAATATCTGCAAGAAACTACCAAATAGTTGTAGGATGCTTGCTATGCATTGGGGATCCATCTGTTTCACTTATTATCAGTCTAGACACGATCCTTGCACTTTTATAAATTCCTCTGACTAGAGATTATATGACATACTTGATGTAGATAAAAAATTTATGAAGTAAATTAAAGAAGTAAGACAAGCAAATACTGCTACCATCCTCTTTTCCTTTGGAAATAGGAATCGGAGTCCCTAGAGGTAATTAATTTAACTTCAGCTTTTAAGAATTCTGCTTACATCATACTGAAGGATCTGTCCTAGAGAATTTAATTGTCATCTAGTAATCGAAATATTTTTGCCTGGATGGTGTGTTTGTATATAAATAATAGAAATTAACAAGTAAATGGGGATGTCATGGATTAAAAATAAAGTACCAATGTGGCTGTTGCAAGAGCACATTCATTTATTTTGTTATTTCTGCTTCTAGGGATCTAATACCTATCATTGCTGCTCTGGAATACAATCAATGGTTCACAAAGCTGTCCTCTAAGGATCTAAAACTGGTAAGTAATAGAAGATGTTGCTTAGCTATGTTGAATTTCAAAAACCTAATATTTATCAAAAAACATTTGTTTTTCTACTATACTGACAAGCTGCATACATGTTATTTCTTGAGGAGATATTTTCCTATCATTGATCTTCATAACATTTTATAAAGTTCGTAATGTGAGATGCCTCAGAGAGTACGTCCTCATGTTTTCAGCTGCTTCAGGCAATTTTGGATGATGAACAGAAAGACATTTATTGTAGCCTTCAGTACACACTCATTCTGTTGGCAAAAACTATTTAAGTTACATTTGCACAACTGCAAATAGCAGATTTTATGTTCCTGTCTTTCATTACATTGCTACAAAACTTCCTTCCTAAGAATTTAGGAAAATGTTACCAGGTAGAGTTGCTTTGGTTGAGTTAGTTATGGTAGTTAACACTCAATTTTCTAGATGAGTGTTTGGGTAGATTTATATGTAAGCAAAATGAAATCAAAGTGAAATCTGTTGGTTTTTGGAAGGTATGGGGGAACCAAATTTTTGATCTGTTTGACTAGTGGGAATAAGACGCTCTGTTAGGGTTTTTTTTTGCATTTCCAAAGCAGCCACATAGATGGATGCTTATCCAAGAGTTAGCTTGTTGCTGCTTCATTTTAGGACAGGAAATAATTCAGATGTTGTTTTATTGGAGACTCTTACATTCAAGCCTCCAGCTTTCAGAGGTCACAGAAACTGGTGGTTTAAGGTGTTCATAGCAAAGAGGTAGGGTTTGGACTGAGATATAGATCTATAGAAAGTGGAAAGTTGAGATTTCCTAGAGGATTGGCTGTTGGTTCTCTGAACTGGCCTGGGGGTGAGCGGCTTGAGGCGTTTTCTGTAGAAG